GAGGATGTCAGTCTGGCCCGTCACGGTGGCTGTCCCTGCGATCCTGCACCTTCTGGGCCAGGAGGCGGATCTTGCACAGCCACTCCTGGGCACTGATGGCCTGCAGGCGCTACTTCAGCTCAGCCTGCAGGCTCCGCTTGGCGTGCTCACAGCTGTCACCACCGCCATGTGGGGAGTACAGGCCGCCCTCCGCCGGCCTGCCTCCCCTGTCCAGAGGCTCTCTGCGCTGCTCACCTGCCCAGAGTGACTGGGGCTGGGCGGAAGCTAGGCGTCCTGCCCTGCCCAACCCTGGCCGATCTGCCCCTGTGTGAGCTGGCACCCTACCAGGAAGGGTCACGGATCTGGGTCCCAGGACCATGGACAGCCTCTAGCGCTGCCCCCTGCCGGGCAGGTCACAGATCCGTGTCTTGGTCCCGTGGACAGCCTCAAGCACTGCCCCCCGCCCGGCAGGGTCACAGATCAGGGTCCCGGGACTGTGGACAGCCTCAAGCACTGCCCCCCGCCCGGCAGGGTCACAGATCTGGATCTTGGGACCGCCGACAGCCTCAAGCACTGCCCCCCACCTGGCAGGGTCACAGATCCGGGTCCCAGACCGCGGACAGCCTCAAGCACTGCCCCCCACCTGGCAGGGTCACAGATCCGGGTCCCAGACCGCGGACAGCCTCAAGCACTGCCCCCCACCTGGCAGGGTCACAGATCCGGGTCCCAGACCGCGGACAGCCTCAAGCACTGCCCCCCACCTGGCAGGGTCACAGATCCGGGTCCCAGACCGCGGACAGCCTCAAGCACTGCCCCCCACCTGGCAGGGTCACAGATCCGGGTCCCAGACCGCGGACAGCCTCAAGCACTGCCCCCCACCTGGCAGGGTCACAGATCCGGGTCCCAGACCGCGGACAGCCTCAAGCACTGCCCCCCACCTGGCAGGGTCACAGATCCGGGTCCCAGACCGCGGACAGCCTCAAGCACTGCCCCCCACCTGGCAGGGTCACAGATCCGGGTCCCAGACCGCGGACAGCCTCAAGCACTGCCCCCCACCTGGCAGGGTCACAGATCCGGGTCCCAGACCGCGGACAGCCTCAAGCACTGCCCCCCACCTGGCAGGGTCACAGATCCGGGTCCCAGACCGCGGACAGCCTCAAGCACTGCCCCCCACCTGGCAGGGTCACAGATCCGGGTCCCAGACCGCGGACAGCCTCAAGCACTGCCCCCCACCTGGCAGGGTCACAGATCCGGGTCCCAGACCGCGGACAGCCTCAAGCACTGCCCCCCACCTGGCAGGGTCACAGATCCGGGTCCCAGACCGCGGACAGCCTCAAGCACTGCCCCCCACCTGGCAGGGTCACAGATCCGGGTCCCAGACCGCGGACAGCCTCAAGCACTGCCCCCCACCTGGCAGGGTCACAGATCCGGGTCCCAGACCGCGGACAGCCTCAAGCACTGCCCCCCACCTGGCAGGGTCACAGATCCGGGTCCCAGACCGCGGACAGCCTCAAGCACTGCCCCCCACCTGGCAGGGTCACAGATCCGGGTCCCAGACCGCGGACAGCCTCAAGCACTGCCCCCCACCTGGCAGGGTCACAGATCCGGGTCCCAGACCGCGGACAGCCTCAAGCACTG